GGGGACACGGGCTGGAGGGAATAATAGGAGCTCAGTTTTGGAAAGGTTGAGTTTGAGGAAGTGGAGTGACATCCAGTCCGATATGTCACTTAGTAGGCTGGTGATGCGATTGGAGACTGAGGGTTGAGGGGTAGATAGATTTGTGTGTCGTCGGCATAGAGATGGTAGTTGAAGCCGTGGGAGTTTATCAATTGGCCAAGGGAGGAGGTGTAGATGGAGAAGAGGAGGGGTCCAAGGACAGAGCCTTGAGGGACCCCTACAGAGAGAGGGAGTGAAGGGGAGGTGGCAGCGTTATAGGTAACACTGAAGGAGCGTTGCGATAGATAGGAGGAGAACCAGGAGAGAGCAGAGTCTCTAAGGCCAAGAGAGTGCAGTTTTTTGAGGAGGAGGGGGTGGTCAACCGTATCAAAAGCCACGGAGAGGTTGAGTAGTAGGAGTATGGTATAGTGGCCATTGGTTTTGGCGGTTAGTAGATCATTGCTGAGTTTGAGTAGGGCAGTTTCGGTGGTTTGGTTTGTGTGAAAGTTTTAGCACCTACAAACTATGATATATATATATATATATATATATATATATATATATATATATATATATACACACACATACATACACACACACACACTGGATTTATTTATTAATTTTTTTTACTACTACTAATGGCAGTGATTAGTGACTTCTAGTGGGACCGTAATAGTGCGCAGGGCAATCTGTCACTAACTGACACTGGGTGGGAACTGACAGACACGGACATAATCAGTGACACCAATAATGATCAGTGATGATACTGTACACTGTCACTGTACTAATAACACTGGCTGGGAAGGGGTTAACATCTCAGGGTAATCAAGGGGTTAAGTGTGTGCCCTACAAGTGGTAATGTGTGTATTATGTGCTGCTCTTTAATAAAAAACAAATCTCTGTTTCTTCTCCCTGAAAATCAAGAAGTAACAAAGAGATCATTCCCTCTGTATAGGTAATCAACACAGGGCTCTGGGCTGTGACTGGACAAAGCCAATCATCAGGTCCTTGTCATGAATCATTGGCCAGGGCCTGACAAACTCCAGCTGTGCAACAATCACAGCAGGAGTTGGTGGAGGGGGCCTGTATCCAGAAGAGACCAGCGATGTACAGGTATGTCACTGTGCCTGTACGGGCTGTCCATTCACAGTACATTGTGGGCGGGTGATCCTTAAGTGGTTTACTGACATCACATGCAGATCAAAAACTCCTCCCTTTTAAGTTAATATACGTTTTAAGTTAATATAGAGTTAATACAATAATAAAAAAAGAAAAATCACTATCTCTTATCTTAACAGTGTTTACGAACACTTTGTCAGAAATTCAATTTTTTGACCGCAGCAGCTGTACAGCAACTTCTGACTGTGATTTTGTCAGCTGGGAAATGCCAACAAATGTGGAGAGGGGAGTAGCAGCAGGACATAGCATACTAAACACAGCCTGTGTACTTCATTGACATTTTTGGGCATGTCTAACATGCCCAATACACACAACTGGTTAAGAACACAAAACCTGCTCTTTCCATTTATTTACTTTTGTTAAAAAAAAAAAAAAAAAAACACACCCAAAAAAATTTATATGTATGTATGTATATATATATTATATATATATATATTTATATTATCTCATTTATATTATCTCGAGGCACACATTTTCTTTTATAAACTTTATAAGAAATATATAATAAATCAGAAGAACATTTTTTTTTATGACATCATCTAAAACATGCATAGGAATGGAAGAGATAGATTGACAATAAAAACATTAATAGTTCTGTAGTAATCTCAGTTTTAATCTTTCAGACAGTGGCAGGGGGCTGTCTAAAGAAATGACAGAGTCATCACCATCACCCTGCTCTTCCTGTGACTTTGTTGAGGACTTGCACTTAGGACTCAAAAAAACATCTTCTTTATCAGAGTTTCCATCAGTATTGGACAAATAAACTGATGTTGGTGTGGTCGAAGCCATTTTGTTGGCGCCAGCTGTCTTGTTTTTTATTATAGGTTTAACTTGCTCATCCTCATCTTCACTAGACAACACAGTTTTATGGCAGACTGTCTTCTTTGGCAAGGCTTTTGCCTCAGGTTTGAGAGCAACATTGTTAATTAGACTACTGTCTGATAGGTTCCTCACTGGAGCAAGAGTAGACTTCTTCACAAAAGTGAAATATTTTGTTGTTGGGCGTTGAAACACTTGAGAGCTGTTACTGGTTCCAGACAATTTTGTTACCAGAGTATTGTGAGTTTTACTTTTTTGAGGACTTAGATGTTTTAATAACTTCAGATGACTTGGGACGTTTTCCTTTACACTGTCAAATTTCTTTGCAGAAATAAGTTGTGTCTGTTTCTGTTTATCAAGGACTTTGGATACAGGTACCAGAGGAATGTTCTTCTCATTGAGGTTCTGTGGGTTCAGGTCTACAGTCTGTCTTGCATTATTCAACAGTATTCTCTCTCTTAAAGGTAATTTTTCAAGATGTAAGATGCAAGGAGAGTCTAGATTAAATGAAGGTGTTTGGTCAGTTATATTCTTGAGACTGGGCTTACTTGATGTACCAGCTTTTTGATGGACATTAGCCAAAGCTGGAGTTTTTGGCTCAGGAGCGGCTGCCTTGTCTGCAGAATCATGCACCACATTACAGCCCGTATGGGATTCTGTCTGAGGAGACCTACTAAATGACGTAGCTTCCCAGTCGATATTACTCAAATGTAAGTCAGAAATCAGCGATGAAATATTGGGTGATGACACCAGGAGTTCTGGTCTACTGCTTACTGGGGAAGGACATGGATTATGAGGAGTCTGTGTGTCATTCTTATTGAATGTCAAAACATTCAAGCCTACCTCATCAGGTAACAAAGTCAAAGGTGGCCTAGATGACTCTAAGGAGTATAAGCCATGAGAATCACCAGGGCATTCAAGGCTGATGGCGGGTAAAGGGTCATCGTCAACATTTGAGACCGATGCTTGTGAGGGTGGCAACTTTTCACCCACTGGGGTCAAGCTCATTTCAGACAAAAGAGAAGCAACATCATCCACATTAGGAAGGACCTTGGAAGTAGGTTTGCTTTTCTTGCCTAGAAAACAAAATGTTGAGAAAAAGAAACTGAATAGAGACCTTCACGTATGATCAAGGGTCTGTTTGTCAGTGGGAACAAGTTGTCTGATTATATGCTACTTCATTAGAAGAAGACTTTGCTAGCATAAGCAATAATCTGTTTACATAGACTGCCAACATGTCTGAGCCTGCAAATAATTATTTCTCTGTATAATTGACCAGCCTCTAAAGTGATGCAGAAAATGGACAGCAACAAAAGGTGCTTTATTTCAGTCCATTAGCTCAGCTACAAAGTGTCAGATTTTTTATTGGAAGAAGGTAGCCAAAGTCTGAAGGCGAAATAATAGCAGGCACACAATGCAAGTACCTTCAGACATTCAACTTCTAATATTTTACTGCAAATAGTCCATCACGGCCTGGCAATTTCCTCCTAACTGTACTGATATTTCAGCAGCTGAAATCTAATAAACACAAGCAGACAGAGGAAGAGGAGCACTGGAGTGATCTGAGGGCTCCAGACAATGTACTAAACTAGACATTAAGAAAATACAAAAGTAAAAGGAAAATGTAGATTTGTAATAGACTGATCAGAATGTGATCCCATTACTCATGTAATGTATATAAATAATGGGGATAATGCATCCTAATGAAAAAAAAAAAAAAAAAAAAAAAAAAGATTAATTTATTTTGCTATTAAAGCAGACTTGTACGCGGATTTGCTAATATATATGAATCCCGTGCATACATTTTTCATGTCGTATTAAAGTCCATTTCTGAGCAAAGCTCTCTTCCCTTCTAAATTCGCATTTTACCCACCTAACTCTGCTACTGTATCTATGTCCTTTGCCAAGGACGCTTCCATAAATGACACCCAAAGACCCAGCATTGCAGAAAGGAAGTGTTTACATCACCAAGGAAGTGACATGGACACCCCAAAAACAACTGTCCTCTTCAGTGAGGACAGAAGGCTCTGGAACTAGTACTTAGGTAAGCAAAAAGGAAAATTTTAGTTTAGCATTCTTTTTTTTTTTTTTTTTTTTTAAAGACCGTTGTGATTAGTTAATGTGGATAGTTAATACCCAAAGTTCAACTTCATAGGCTAAGTTCACTTTTAAATAAAAAATTCACATATGTTTGCAGGTAAAAAAATATTTGCATTTATTGTTTTGTTAAAACAACAGCTTGTAAAATATTGCACCCATGATCAGCAGATGGTGAGTGCAATGTCAGATTTCTGCACACACTGCCTACATTTGTGTCCATACCTCTGTACAGGCTGTCATTTTCAGAGCTGTACGCAGTGTGAGTGCTTATCAGCACACTTGCAGTTAATTGAAACTGAAAGTTCCTGAAGACGGAACTTGTAGTTTCTTCATTCACAGATTCCTGTGAATGAATGACATGGCTGTGCAGGCAGAGACTAGTTTGAAATGTGACAGCGGGTGCGGGAAAAAGAACCCCTGCACACTGTCACACTGAGTAGGGGGAACTAGAATTACATGTTACACCCTAAAACAGGTGTAACGTGTTCTAAAAGGTGAACTTTTCCTTTAAAGTGAATCTAAAACCAGTAATATATCATATAAGCTTTAATATGTAATTTCAGTCTTTTCAAATTTGCAGCTTTCAATAAAATAATACCAGCTGATCCTGCCATGAAAGTCCTTGCTCGGTCACTTTCTGTTATAGGGTGATAACTGTCCCCCAGCTGTCCTCCGGCATTGTCACCCTTTCATACAAGCCCCTTTGTTGAGACTAGAAGCAGTCATGCCAACACACATTGCACAGACATGGTCCCCTATTCTTATTATCACAAAGTCAGTCCACAGCAATGAAGAGACGCCGAAAGTGGAGCATGTAAAGTTTTCGCACAGACTCAGTTTCTCCATACACCACACACGCAGTATACATGTATCTGTGTGTGTGCTCACATGAAGAGGATGCAGGAAAATGAGGCTTGAGCTATCAACCTTATGAACTGATGAACTACCTGAAAGAATTCTAGAAGCCATTCAAGACAGGACATTATTAGTGAGGAATATGGTTGGTCAGTCAAGGAGTGGAGAGAGATATTCGGATGCAGTTCATAGATAAGTTGGGAAACATAGAGAAGTGTACAATATAGTGTGTTATGTAAGCATCTCCCAGACTTACTTTTCTGTTTCAGCAGCTCAGCCTCCATTTTGTCCTTTCGGAATAACTCTACAATATCAGGGTAAGCTGCCGTGAATAGAAATTCTTCCTCAATGGTCAGTAATGGAGCATCTGCTGGATGATCATCAGGAAAAACATAGCTGCCTAAAAGTGGAAGGAAGGATTCTTATATCACTTATATTATATTGACAATTCTGATAAATGCCAACAATGAAGGATGCTGAATGTTGCAACAACACTCATAAAACATTACCAAAGCAGTTGTTAAACTCTTCTCTACAAAGTAAACACGTGACATCAGCCACTGTTTTTTATTCAGTCAGTTCTGCAAGAATCAAAATCTAAATGAGACTTCACAAGGCTTTGTAATGCTCAGCAGGCCAACAGCCAGTGAGAGCAGCCAGGTAAACAGACATTATTATTATTATTATACAGTATTTATAAAGCGCCAATAGTTCGCTCAGCGCTGTACATTACAAAGGGGGACAGAATATGTGACAGAACAATACCAATACAATGCAAAACATGAGGGGATTGAGGGCCCTGCTCTTTCGAGCTTACAATCTAGGAGGGAAGAGGATGGTGGCACAGGAGGAGATAGCTGTGGGGGATGGAGTGGTAGGAAGAGTGGAGGAGGTTGGCAAGTTAGCAGGGGGTGGGGTAGGCTTCCCTGAAGAGATGGGTTTTCAGGGTGCGCCTAAAGGAGAGGAGAGTAGGTGATAATCTGATGGGTTGGGGCAGGGAGTTCCGGAGGATGGGTGACACCCTGGAGAAGTCCTGCAGGCGGGCATGGGAGGAGGAGACCAGGGAACTAGAGAGAAGGAGGTCTTATGAGGAGCGGAGTGTGCGTGCTGGGCGGTACTTGGATATTAGGTCAGTGATGTAGTTCGGGGCAGTGTGGTGGACGGCTTTGTACGTCAGCATTAGGATTTTGAATTTGATCCGTTGCACAGTCGGAAGCCAGTGGAGGGATTGGCAGAGGGGGGTGGCGGAGACATAGCGGTTGGAAAGGTGAATGAGTCTGGAAGCCGTATTCACGATCGACTGAAGCGGGGATAGCCAGCGGCGAAGCAGGCCAGTGAGGAGGGAGTTGCAGTAGTTGAGTCGTGATATGATGATGGAGCGGATGAGCTGTTTAGTGGTTTCTGGGGTTAGGAACGTGCGGATTTTGGCGATGTTGTGGAGGTGGAGTCTGCACGAGTTTGTTAAAGATTGGACTTGGGGCTGGAAGGATAGGTTGGAGTCCAGAATGACACCAAGTACTCTGGCCTGCGGGGCGGGTTTGATGGTAGCGTTGTTCGATGTGATAGAGAAGTCAATGGGAGGTGGTGTCCGGGCTGGGGGGAAGACAAGAAACTCGGTTTTGGAGAGGTTCAGTTTAAGGAAGTGGAGCGACATTCAGTCTGATATGTCGCTCAGCAGGTGTGTGATTCAGGCAGAGACCGAGGGGGTGAGGTGGGGGGTTGAGAGATAGATTTGTATGCTAAGCTTTGGAAATTAATGAACCTGAACTGGAAAAGTAAAAAATATTTCTAGATATGCTCCTTATAAAATGAGCTGTGCCTAATCAGTACCCTAAAAAAAATAATTACCATTTGCCATGAATTCCTTTAAAAAATACTTCCTGTGCCTAGCCACTCCTAATCTGTAGCTCCACAGCAGTACATCTGTAGTGAGATCATCCAAGGCACTGTTAGGCCCCTTTCACACAAAGGGTTCAGGTTCACCTTGTGTCCGTTTACCCTGGCCTACCTCTAATCCAATCTGCTTACAAAAAAAAAAAAAGAAGAAGAAAGGGCATCCGCTTCCTCCATCTAGGCGGAGCAGAGGGCAGTCGATTGTAAATGAAGACAGCAATGTCCGTTTACACACACTGGTCCATAGAGCAGAACAGGGTCTGTCCAGGTCTGCTCTGCATAAACTGAGTTGACACGGACCTGTCATACGCCCGATCTGCACTGATCAGCAGGGGATTTGTGCGCAGATTCCCTGCTGATCACAACGAAATCCACCCCATGTGAAAGGGCATTAGGCTCGAGAGATTTGGTAAAGTCAGTGCTGTGCTGCTCATTGTTTTCCTTGTTGGAGAAGAAACTGTACATGAGGACCAGCATTGCAAGGATCTCCCTGCTTCGATCTCATTCATTCTATGGATCTGTGATTTCTGCACCTGTTGCTCCTTGAATATTCCCCACCAATCATCAGGGGGGCAATCCTGCCATAAGGAAGTAAAGCCATTCTCTACCAACACAGAAGCCTCTACACAGACACATTGCAGAAGAAGGCAATGTTAAGTCAGTAAAGGGGTAAGAAAAAAAAAAAAATCAGCTGCAGAGAGACTGCAGACAATACTGTTGACAATTTCTTTGCCTTCTGCACACCTTCCACAATGCATTCTGAATACATTAAAAAATAAGTGCACTTAAACTTAAAAACTCCATTCCACCCAACCCCCTGGAGCAATGAGCTGGAAAATACTTTTAACAGTTGTTGTGAAGTTTTTATCCTCATCATTGCCTTGTCTGCTGCCTGTGCTGTGCTAAGGACAGAGTATGGCCATTGATAATAATAGCCAGTCAGGTAAAGATAAAAACTAGGGAATCTGACCATTATTTTCTTTGGCCACAGGCTCATCTCAGATTGGGGTGTGTGCTGGGTATTGATGGGAGCAATGTGTGGTAAATGCTTTTTTTATTGGCACAAAAAATATTCCCTTGCATAATGGAGTAGTTAGTGCCGTTGTCTCATCCATTTGTTGGACCAAACGTAAAATATAAAACTTGCCTGAATGGTCAATAGTACTGCCTAACTCCAACCAAATAAGGTTGTTTTTCCTTCAGTGTCCCAAAACTCCTGAATCCACAGCTGCTCGTTGCCTGACCCTACTCCCCTCCTAATACATAGTACAATGCTGTGATAGCCAGCCTCAGTATTCATTACTGAAAATTACGGTGGGAAGGACAGGATGAGAATCTTAACTCAGCAAGCTAGAGGTGGGCTTTAATGTTACTGAAAACTTTCAGCTACAAGGAAGAATACATTTATCAGGCTTGAGAGCCCCCTAGACCTTTCTGAAGTACCTCCTAGGTTGCATTAACCAGTAGCTGAGAACCTCTGCTTAAGATTATCCCCACATTTGAATAAAGGAAGCTTAGTACTGGTGAGATGTGCACACTACTTACAATTCTCTGAATTGGATCACAATGGGATCAGCGATCAGAAAATTAGAAACATAGGGTGAGTGTAGATTTCTGTTAAAGTGGAGGTGATCGTTTATAACTATTTTTCTTAAGTGCCTTCAGAAGAAATTCCTTATTGCATTAAGAGATTTATCCAGCATATACTATTATAATACAGGATTTATATAGCGCCAACAGTTTGCTCAGTGCTTTACAATATAACGGGAGACAATACAGTAAAACAATACAGTTCAATCCTAGATTGTAAGCTCCAAGGAGCAGGGCCCCCCTAACCCTTTTGTATTGAACTGTATTGTCTCCCGTTATATTGTAAAGTGCTGAGCAAACTGTTGGCGCTATATAAATCCTGTATAATAATAATACTACAAGAGGGTTAGGAGGGCCCTGCTCCTTGGAGATTTGATCTTGATGGAGAAGTCAGGGGAGGGGGCACGGGCTGGAGGGAATACGAAGAGCTCAGTTTTGGAAAGATTGAGTTTGAAGAAGTGGGTATACTTTTTATACAAACCTGGTTTTACCCATTCAATTTCATAGCATGGAGCCCCATTCCTGATTCGTGTCTTTAGAATTCTGAATAGAGTAATTGCAAACATTTTATTAACATTATTTTATGACAGGACTAAGAAATCCTTTTGCACATTTTAATAACTAAAAAAAATTAAAATAAAAAAAATAAAATGCCACTAGTGTAAATATTCATATTTGGCTTTATTTCAGGCTCATGCAATTCCCTGTGCAGCTACACTCAAACTGCAAGAAGGAGGGACAGCATAAGGAGCAAATTGGGTGCTAACAAAAAACAAGCTGAAAGGAGGAGAAGGCAAGAAGGCAGAGAGATGACATAATCAGTCTGTTTGCTGCTCTTTCACTGGAGCAGGCTGACTACCTGGAATTTGGCTTCATGATACACAAGACCAGTATTAATTGGTTGCCATGGATGACACATCCTCATTTTCTCTCCTACAGCCAGGACTAGACAGTGCTAGAAGGTACATGATCTAGCACAGGATCCCTATTAGGTGCTGAAATTATTGCTTAAAAGCCACCAATGATATTCAGATTTCTGGGTCTAAATCTGACTCTGTCTGGGGCTTGTGGAGAGGCCTGTCAGGCTCATTACCTGGTTGCCTGAAGTTGTCCATCATGTTGCCTGCCTGCCTTCCTCTCTTGCATGTCATAGTATGTCAGAAGGACCATAATCTTCTCGCAGGCATAATGCTTGGGCCAATCCATCCACTCCAATGCAAAATTCTAGAAAAATCACAGAATATTATAACATACTACGGGATACAGTAAGGATACATTCACAAGCTCTCCTCAGTGAAGCAATTCACGTATTATGAGGTAAAATGGCAGATGCAATTAAAATACTTTGTATATGTTAAGGCAGTGTTTCTCAACCTTTCTTTTAGCCAAGGCACCCTTTAAAATGATGCACACTCACTCCAATCTAAAAAGTAAAAAAAACTAATGAATAGTTTTACATAATGCAGCAACATCCATACACGTGATCACCCAATGTTAGAGGGGATTTTTTTTTCTCCCTCAGCTAATGTATCCCTAGTGCTGATGATTGATTGAGGGGAAGGAAAGGGCCAAACAAGAATGCTTTGCAGGCCCTCATCATCCTCCTGGTCAACTCATGACGTCATTGGTTGTTAGGACACCAATGGCTAAAAGGTTGTAATGGTGCACAAAAACCAAAAACAAACCCATGGCCTTGTGTATCTAAAAGACAGGCTTGATCTACCCACTGGCTTTTATACAAATTTTAGGCATTTTGTCAAGGCATCTCTGAAGAAACCTGAAGGTACCCTAGTTGAAAAAGGCTGTTTTAGGGAATTGTCACTTACTACTTGCTTTTAAAAATAGCAAGAAAAAAAAAAAAAAGTGTTAAAAAAAAATACCTAAAACCAGCATCCCCATGGCCCAGAGAGAAATTTTACGATATTAACTAGGTGGTACAGATGCATCCATAAAATATATAGCCAACAGTCTCCAGACACCACATCTAAAAGCCTGGTAAGTGGATTATATTACAATTATATTTTTGTCCTTGGTGAAAAGTGAAACGGCATATCTTTATTTATTGAAAAAAACCCTAAAAAACACAATTTTCAATATTTTCCCTTTGTTTTCCTTTTTAGTCCTTTTCCAGTGGTAAGTACTAATACGAATTTCAGATCAGTTAGTGAAAGGACTGAAAAAAGAATAAAGACTAAGGGCTTGTTATCAGGGGAGTAAAGCATGTAGCATTAAAGCTCATCTCCGGGGAAATGAAAAAAATGCTCCCTTTGCAGTGGGGTTTCCCCTGCACATCAATCGGTAAATGCAGGTTTAGGTCTAGGGGGCCTGAAAAAGCATTTTATGTACTGGATCCTCCACTCCCCATGCACTGCATCAGTGGGATGCCCCTTAGTGTCTTCATGTCCAATGTAGGGTTATGCGCTCTGAAATAGACTTGATCACGTCAGGGACCTGCAACTGCCGGGACTTAGGGGAGAAAAGGCTGCAGAGACTGATCGTACAGTCTTGAGGATGGCAGGCCGGGTAAGTAAAATAGCTTTCTCCAGTACCCTAGACCTAAATGAGTATTTAACCCATTAGTGCAGTGGCAATCCCACTGCATAAGAGCATTTTACTTTTCTTGGATTCAGCTTTAAAGTGTAACCCCTAACAATGAGTTTCTCTTAATTTTGTTCTTTAAAAAATTCTGTTTTGTTAAATCTGTTCAATAAGTGCAAAAAAAAAATGACTCATTAACCGTGATCCTGCCAGAAATAAATTGCTATCCATGTGCACTCTGTACTTTCAAATAATGTTATCAGCAGGTATTTTAGGACAACAGAACATCTTCTCCAAGATTATGGAGACAGGGGAGGTATTCTGTAGTACGAACACACTTCCTCTGACAGGGCTGCTTCTCCTTAGATACAATAAGATTTTTAAAGAACAGGAAGAGTGTTACTGACACCATGTGCAAATAAGGAAAAATCCTGAAAAGAAAACTAATGCAGCTACCACATCAAAGGATTGGTAGGCTGCAATACAATACATTTTGTTCTTGGCTTTAGATATGCTTTAATACCATACATATAAAACATTTTGAAATTAAAACATAAAACATGTATGATGATATATTCATAACCACCCTTCTGCCTTTGTCAACAAAAAGAAAATAAGAACACAACAATTTTAAAGTGTGAAATCTGACTGGTTGCTGTTAATTGTTACACCTAGGAGTTAGCACCTAAAGGGCTAGTCCAACCAAACTTCATGTATTTCAGTTTTTGGTAGATGTTGGAGACCTAAAGAAGACCTTGCACTAAAAGGCCTGCTCATTCCATAAGGCCTCCCCCAAACCAATTCACCAGATTAGAGTGTAAAAAAGAAAAAAAAACTTTTTTGAACAAATGTTTAAGAAATTAAGTTAAAGAAACATATCAATGGTGGCACCATCGGATTACAAAATGCACGAACGTTACGATTTTCTAAAGAACATTTGTTGGGAATTTGACCCATGTGCTGCCTGCATCAGACCTGTTAACATTGGGATCTCTGCATATAAATCCCAAGCCCTGCACACCTGCCACAGCTTTACCAGAGAGTTCTATAAACCATCCTGGAACTTTGATTAAATTACATTTGGATGATCCATCATTAGAACACCCTGTTTGTGGGAACAGATCCAGAGCTATGGCAGGAAGACTTCCCCCATCAGAATCCTCACAAGATACAAAAAACCACCAATGAGTGACATGTTCCACCAGTCTTCACCTATAACCAAAGAACAACTTTTGGCAGAACTGGCCCAGTAAGATGAAGAACATAAAGTGTTACGGTGAAAAATGTGAACACCTGATGTTATTAAACCATGTGACAAAATCCTAATGTATTGCACATATAATCATTCAACTATTAACCACTTGCCATCCGCCTGCTGTTTATAAATGGCAGGACAGTGGCATTCCAGGGGCGGGTTGCCGTTCATAAACGGCACCCGCATCTTCTAGCTGTGCGCGCTCCCTGGGAGCGCGCGCACCACCGCGATCCGGTGCCCGCTGTGTCCTCCAGACACAATGGAACACCGATCGTCGGACAGGACCTCTGTGCGAGGTCCCAATCATGTGATCACTCATTGGCCAATCACTGATCACATGCAGAGTAGTAAGCAAGATGTAACTTGTGACATCATTGCTTACTACGTGTGAAATCTGTGAATGATCACAGAGGTCACATGGTATAAGGCTATTCACAACAGCTTGTACCATGTGACAAGCTGTGACCAATCACAGCTCACACAGTAGTTCTCAATGGCTGCAAGAATGCAGCTAGAGAGAAGGAGAAATGATTGCTTTTACAGCCTTTATGGGTGTAAAAGCAATCCGTGTAAAAAAAATAAAAATCTTCATCACCCCCCACAAGTAGTACAGTGTCACCATGGTGACACTGTACTGCTAGGGTGACAGTATGTACAAAAAAAAAAACAAAAAAAACAAAAAAAGTAAAAAAAAAGTTTAAAAAATTATACATTTTTGGTTAAACTAATTTGGGTTTTTTTTTTTTTTACTAAAAAGATAACGGAATACATTTTGGTCAAGATTTTTGATGAAATACTATTTATTTGCAAAATTTTATAAGAAAAACACTTTTTTTCAACATTTTTGGATATTTCATTTACATAGCAAAAAAAATAAAAATCCCAGTGGTGAATAAATACCACCAAAATAAAGCTGTATCTGTCTCAAAATTTTTTTAAAATAATCATATGGGTACAGTGTTGCATGACCGCGCAATTGTCATGCAAAGTGTGATAGCACTGAAAGCTGAAAATTGGCCTGGACTGGAAGGGGGTGAAAGTGTCCGGACTTGAAGTGGTTAAACAAAATAAAATATAAATAAAATGCCTGTGGTACTACAAGTCTCCACAATACCAATGTGATGGCTACAATCATAAAATGTCCGTAGTACAAATCACAGCAATACCAATGTGATAGATAGAATAGTGCTCATCATCCAGTGAAGGAATCCGTGGCACTACAAGGTACAGCAATACCTGGGGAGATATTCAAAAGGTGCTCATAATCCAATGTGGAAATCCACCACCTCTTACGGATATGCACTCACCAGAACACTACTGGTATAGTAGCATTTGTGCTGATCCCATAGAAGATCTCAGAGAGCCATATATGCAGACAGGACTTCTCCAGTAAATAGACTTTAGAAAACCGACAGGGGAATCCTCCTAGAGGGAAATGCTCACCACAGGAGCCCAAGGTTCGGCAAATAGTGTAGTATTTATTAAAAGCTTAAAATACAATCCACGTGGATAAAACAATTAGTTTGTGTATAACACATACATACCAAGATGACCGCTGCTCTGAGCTCCCGAGCATTGATATTGCTGAGACTTGTAGTACCACGGACATTTTATTTATATTTTATTTTGTTTACTATTTGAATGGTTATATGTGCAATACATTAAGATTTTGTCACATGGTTTAATAACATCAGGTGTTCACATTTTTCACCATAACACTTTATGACGGAATTTAATATTTAGCGCTGCACTTATACTAGTTCTTGTGGGTTTTGTTACCTTTACCCTTTTTTGTGCTAGCAGCTCCTAATACTCAGCGCTCACTTGTTTTTTTGAAAAAGGCCGATCATCAGTTAATTTTAGGTAATGAGAATCTTTAATGAGCAAAGGTCTCATATGGTCTGCTTCAAGTTACGTTCTGTGCTGTTAAACTATTTATGTTTACTCTATATGGTATCATAAGGCACCAGGAATATATTAGCTGCAAAGTATTATTAATATTTATAATTAAATTTCCAGAATATCATTAATTGCATCAACAGAGGATTCCCATGCCTCTAGGATGGAAGGCGAGGAAGTATCTTGCTGTAAACAGGGAGTTGAGATGACTATAAGAACGCATTTTATATTCTGCTCTACCCTGCTCACCACCTGGCTGCACAGCTCAGCAGAAATATGAAAGGAAAGGGGGACCTCTACCTGGAGACATAATACTGCTGTGCACTGGAGAAAAGAAAAAAAAAAAGAAGAAAAAAAAGAAGAAGAGCATCTTACCAGCTTATCGCATTTCATGTTGTACACATGAAGCATACGGTAAAAAGGTACTTATGTATAAAGTACTGAAAATGAAAATCCAGAGTTAGGCTGGCCATACACTTGGAATTTTGGCCAATTTCCATGAATCAGTTGAAACTTGAGCCATTGGAGGCTC